AGGGTCAGTGTCACTGGACCGGGTGCCAAACACTTTCCATGCTCATGATAGTTCATATCAATGACATGAATGATTATGAATGATTTGGAATGATATCAATGATTCTGAATGATTCTGAATGATTTGGAATGATTATGAATGATTCTGAATGATTATGAATGATTATGAATGATTATGAATGATGTCAGTGTTCATTATTTGTTTTGTTTTGTTTAGTCAACATTGGACAGCAGCATAAGTCGACAAGATACGATTTGTTCCTGTTTAAGACAACGAGCACAGCCAACTTTGGCATTTTGTCCGCAGCTAGACCGAGACAGAGTGGTCACTCGACAGAGTGACGGTCACTGCCGGTCATTGGGATGAAATGTGAGCACTGCAGATGCGGCTTTGAGTGGGTGACATGTATGGAATGTATGGGCATCTTTCGTGAAATGTAAAAGGTCTCTGAAGGTAGGGTATACTGTACCAAATACCCCCCAACATGGCAAGTTAATAGGGAAATTGTTGATGATAAACCCCTGGAACCCTAACTTGCAAGCACACCCATGTTGGTTCTTATGGGCATCGAGTGGCATGGTGGTGAAAGAGCGTAGCAGTGATAGAAATGGATGAGAATGGATAGTGGCATCATCATCCTTGAGTAGCTTGAATAATCATCCAGTCATATCCAGTCCATTTCATCTGCTGTCAAGTGTTTTCCCATGGTTTTCCCATGGTTTTCCCATGATTTGCCAGGATTTTCTGCCATGGTTTTCCCATGGTTTTAAAAAACCATGATAGCAACCCATGGTTTTACCATGACACCACGACTCGGAAGTTGGTACATGTTGCTACTATATGTCTAAGATGAGTATCATCCATGATGGGAATCTTGATCTTAACTTCTTAACCAACCAGAAGCAACCAGTACAATGGACTGCTCACAACCAGTTAGGAAGTCATCGGCATTTCCAATGCAGATCCCAGCAGCGGTTCTCAGCTCTAACGGATTCCTTCTGGCGCAGCCAGTCATAGCCAGTCGCCATGACAGTGCGAGTTCTTTGTTTGCATGGCTGGAGGACAAACCCTGCCTTCATGGATGCTTGGCTGACTTGGGTAGTTGGTTGAATGATGATAGGAGGGAGAGTTGAAGTGCGAACGACTGGAAATTGATTGTTTGACTCTATTATCAATCCCATTCCATCTCAATTCTAGAGTATTAATTCAGATGAGCACTATCTCTGACAGATAGGTGGAAATCAGTACAAATCAGTTATTCTTGGCAGCTACCGAAGCTTCACGACACGGTAGGTTGTCCCAATTACCAAAATCAAAGACCAACATTTCAGACTCGTGCGGCAACTGCAGATTTTGTTTATCATACCACGTCTTCGTGGTTTCAAAAAGCTGGAAATAGCTGGAATAGATTGCCAAATTCCTTTTCGGCAGCTATGGTTATTTGGCTATGGATCAATACCTATACATACCATTTTTAGGGGGATGAACATCCATTTACCAGCTATTTTGATGTTCACCAGGGGGATAGGGTTTTGACCCATCCCCATTTGCCAATCTACTGAATCCAAGGAGAAGCAGATGAAAAATCTTACAGCGAAGCTTCCTGGATGGGACTTCTCCTTTCTACCTGGGTTGGGTGCCCCCAGACCTGACTTGTGGACCTACGTACTTCGGCCAGGTTTTGTTTGGCAGTTCTTGTACTATCACGCATCCCGACGTATGTGGGGTAATTAATTATATTTAATTATTATGGCCGAGCCCGTCCCAGTGGCAACCACAAGAGATTCTTGGGTTGGAATCAGTTTGGCACGCACAGTGAGTCAATCAGAGAGCTTGAGTTCCACATCCTTTTACCACACTATGCAGGTTTGGAATGATTAAAGCTAAATGCCCCAAAACTATCCAAAATTGGGTAGAAGATGAACATCGAAAAACATGTCTTGATTGATATGTAATCCATTCTGTCGATTTAGAAATTGACTTAAGGATCTTCACTAAATCTGACGCCCACAGAATGGGATGTTCACCAGCCGAGCAGAGCGACCCACTGGATCTTCCCATTTCAAGACGGAAAGTCAGAGGTCACTGAAGGGATTTTCAGGGTAACTTGGGTATACTTGGGTGAGTTAAATCATGATAATCATGATAATCATGTGCAGTGGTCGGCCCTAGACATCCCTTGACATCGATCTCTGATGCTGTAGCACCTCCAAGGCCCATTTCTGGGATGCTGGCAGCTGATGATGATGTGGAGCAGGTCCCAGAACTGGGAATCATGTATCATCTATGTATCATCTACAATTCATCTATATACTACCCTCTGGAAAAAAATAAACATAGACCCTGAAAATCACTAATTTTTAATGGAAACTAGTCTTCCAACCCCTATCTGCCAGGGTCTATGTTAATTTACCAGAGGGTATTTGACATTATTTGACACCACAGCACATGGAGATACATGGAGCATGTGGAACAAGACTCTGCTTTGATCTGCTTTGTTTCACAAAGATTCCTGTGGTGCCTCAGAGGCGTAAAGCAGAATGTTCACTTCGTGTTCAAAGTTCAGGGCAGAAAACTATATAGAACACTGATATCACAATTTTATACAATTTTCACATATGTTATATAAATATAACAATATATATATAATACAGTATATATATAATATTCACCACCTTTTCGGTCAAGTTTCGGGAGGAGCAGTGGTTTGCTAGCTGCTAGCCTATCTCCATCGGCCACAGGAGAGCCTTGCGCCCTACTTCCAGTGGTGGGAGCCTTTGGACACTTGGTGAGGTGTAGCCTATTTTCAGAGAAATCCATGTTAGACATGACCCGGGCTGTTACAGTGGGGCAGACATGGCCCAAATGAGCCCTCGCGATTTTCCCACAAACCGTTACAAGGACTCCTGATGTTGATTGGGTCACAAGATAGTTGATCATTGTATAATGCTTGGGATAAACATCCATTGATTCATGGATGTTGCAGCATGTAGCAGCATGTGCCACTAAGATATGCATGTATTATCAAATTTGCTTCTTAATTTACTACTGTAATTCATTAATAATTTTACTTTTTTCTTTTCAACTATTCATTATTTAGTCTGTGAGGCATGCCATAGACGGGCTTGCCAATTCCTGTACACAGCCTTTCCCAAAGGTTCTTGGTGGAGCCCTCTCCCAAAGGCATGCCACCTGCAGAAAGAGCTTTCTGCACCCCAGTTTGCCATGGGGGCCCACCCTCTCATAGCAGCAGTGGACCCCTTGAGTTTCTTTCTGGTGCTGGGGCTGAGCAGCTCCTTGACCTGCTTGTGGACTTCATTCTCCACTGGGACTCACCATATGACACAATGTGCAAATCTGCATAGTCCATCAGCTTGTTGAGTGCTTTTTCATTCTGGAAACTCACTCTGTTCTGTTTTTCAATGGTGTTGTGCCAATCAAGTACAATGATTGGCTTTTTGTTCTTCTTTCTACTGGTGTCCTTTTCCAAAGACCCTATGGCTTTGTCTTCCTTGGTGTCCTTTTCCAAAGACCCATCTTCCTCATCCTCATCTTCCCCCTTCACCACCAGGAGCTCCTTCTGCCCATCCTTTGCCCTCCTCCCTCTCCTGACCTGGCCTTCAGGAGTAGCCGCAGCCTTTTCCAAAGCTGGCTCAGCTGCATTTTCCAAAGCAGTCTTTTGCTTTTTTTCCTATAGTTACACTGGGTGGAAGATGAAGCAGCTTGACTTTTGCCTTTTTGCAGCCTTTTCCAAAGCTGCAGCTTGCTCCACCAGGCTTTCCTCTGCATCTGGCCTTGCAATGATCAAGTTGGACCACTGCTTGTGAGCCGTTTGGGCGTTGCGGTTTGAGTGGGTGGTCCCACTGCCACTAGGCTTGTTTTTGCAATTCAAGCCATAGTAGCCATATCTAGTTGGAGGCCCCAATCTTGCCAGTCCTCCCAATCTTTCCACTCACCAGCCATGGCAGCCAGTGTCTTTTCCAAACTACTTGTCTTTCAGGGCTTTTCCAAACCCTCCTGAAGGCTTGTTTTAACCCTAGGCTTTTCCAAACCTACGTCAAAAGTGTTGAAACTGTTGAAACCTAAATGTAATGTTGTTGTTTGCTGGCCTAGCTGTGCATGTGTGTACCTCTGAAATTGTCTTTGAAAATGCTGTGAGTTGTGTGGTGCTGCTGTGGTCATATGTACCATGTGGGCTTGCTCATTGCTGGACAAAAACAGCTGCAGAAACACAACATGCATTTGAAGTCAACAAATGCCCCTTTTCCAAAGGGCATGCAAACCTGGTTTTATAAACTTAAACAAGGGTTTGTAAAGGCTTCAAAAACAAAAACCAAGTTTGGAAAACATGTTTAAGAACATGTTTGGAGATATGCATATATATATATATATACATAAATATAGTGTATATATATATATGTACAATTGTATGTAATGTATGTATGTATGTATGTATGTATGTATGTATGTATGTATGTATGTATGTATGTATGTATGTATGTATGTATGTATGTATGTATGTCTGTATGTAATGTATGTATGTATGTATGTATGTATGTATGTATGTATGTATGTATGTATGTATGTATGTATGTATGTATGTATGTATGTATGTATGTATGTATGATGTATGTTATGTATGTAATGTATGTAATGTATGTAATGTATGTAATGTATGTAATGTATGTAATGTATGTAATGTATGTAATGTATGTAATGTATGTAATGTATGTAATGTATGTATGTTATGTATGTATGTATGTATGTATGTATGTATGTATGTATGTAATGTATGTAATGTATGTAATGTATGTATGTATGTATGTAATGTATGTAATGTATGTAATGTATGTATGTATGTAATGTATGTATGTATGTATGTAATGTAATGTATGTAGTGTATGTATGTAATGTAATGTAATGTATGTATGTATGTAATATGTATGTATGTATGTATGTATGTCTGTAATGTCTGTAATGTAATGTCTGTAAATGTCTGT